TGTCAAAATCTGAAGTTCAGTTTAGATAAATTTCTACACATTTGGATGCTTTTCCACACCTTCTTTTCCCAGCAAAGGAATTCTCACAAGAACAGGGTCTAACAAAGTTTCTTGCTTTGCTTCCAAACAGATTAGAAAAAGAACAGATTTTCTTTGTAATTCTGGCTCAGGGCAGGAAACATAGGAAAACAGCTAGCTAAACACAACAACAGGCGATGCTTCTGACTCTAAACAAGCTCAAGATTGACTCAATCATCCACCTACACCCAGTTACCCTTCAGGATGAAGTTTCACCCAGCTTTGTACATTCTGTGGCTGCAATCCTGAAATGACTTTAGCACAAGCATGCAGTCAGCCATATGCATAAGGTTTTGTAGGCAGTTCATGTTGTGCAGTGAATTCTGTGCATGTAGACTCCACTGCATGCATGCAAGCTATCAGGGGAAAAACAGGAATCTGCCTGGCAGAACTGGTTACAAGACTGAGTAGGGCCACGGCTTGCTTTTCCTCTTTGGCATTCCTATTTCATGTTACCACAGGATTGTCTGATTTACATAGAACACTACTATTCCAAAATCCCGTGAACCTGTACTCAATACCACATCATCTTTTACTAATTTTCTTTCTTCGGTGCTGCCAATTGTCTTTATTTTCTTGCGAGCTCTCTGACACTCGATATCTTTCTTAACACTGAGTTCCTTGAATCAAATGATCACACATGCATCTCAGCTTTCATTTTAAAAGCACTTTTTTTGTGTGAAGAAAAAATGTGATCTTGACACACCCAAAAGATGTAGACATTTGAATGGGGGAAAAAAAGCATTTCTTTAAAAGCCTGTCCTTTTCAGAGCTCTGCTTACAGTTTTCTTCAGTCCTGCCTCATCTGTTTCAAAAACTGCCTAAAAAGAGATTTAGTGTAAAATACTTCAGAACTGTTAAGGAATGAATCATATACATAAATATGAATCTCAGTTTTTAAACAAATACAATAAGTGACAAGATTTGTAATAAAAGAGACATTACCGGACTAACAGAGAACACACAAACTGTACTTCCAACCGCCCTTTTACCTGCTCTCAAAACCACAAGGGACAGGTCTGACTACTTACATGCTGACAGCTCTTTTACATGGGTTAGATCAAATATGTACGTAGGGCAACGGATGCTCACGAATATTGCAGATGTATTTGAAAAGGGAAGAGGAATCCTTTAAAAATTTGATCCTACTTTGTCTCTCAATGACTTTAGTGCAAATCCATAAACCTGGATCTTTGACTTACTGGGAGATGTATGTATTTCACCTTTCACTGAATCTATCGGAAGTCGTGGTGCTGAACACCTTACAGTCAGGTGGAAAACCCCAATCCTGCAAATGCTTATATACTTCCTTAAATTCAACCCTCTGCAGTGACACACATGCATTGGAGTTACGGAGTAAGCTCAAACATGGAAAGGACAGTGATGCCTGTGACATGGGTCAAGTTACCATACCATCTTCCTTTACTCCCAGAGAGGGGAAAAGCCTCATCTCACTGAAAGGGTAAATACGCACATAACACCTAAGCACACTAAGATGAAAATAAACCCTCCTGTAAAACAGCAATAGTAACTAGGAAGGTTTTTAAAAGACTGAGCCCCTTTCACAAGTCATAAAAAGTAATCATTAAGCAAAAAAGTTCTATTTATTTTATTAAATTAATGAAATCTTTCATGTATTCATGTTTCATTTGAAATAAAAGAAGGCAAAATCCATTTTCAGTGGTGGTACTACAGGTCAAACATACATCACCTATAAAGGTAATACAGCTAAAATGAGCCCCTGCCCTCCCCATTTGCAACTCCACTGTGGCCGCTGGCCGCGCAGCACATTGCTGCATGTGCTGTGGAGGGAGATTTCCGCAGGGAAAGGCCGTGCCATTTCCTCGGAGCACTTACAAGCCAAGAAGAAAGCTTCTCTGTGAGGTATCATAAACAAACTCTTGTGACATGCCTTTATGATGCTGCCCCAGGGAATACATTAAAAACACACAGCAGACAAGCTCAGAATTGCTGGAAGAGCTTGAGATAACCCTTGCCCTTGATGGTGCGACTGCTCTTGCAGCTAACCATCCTCTCCCCATTCCTGCACTGCTCTGTGTCTCTGCAGATCTGTGCTGACAGTCTAAAGGCCAGGAAGAGGGATTACCACCGCAGAAAAATTGCATTTCCCCTTCCAAGCACAACTCTCTCAACACAGTACATGTCACCTGGCAAGCAAGAGGAGGGCTCGACAGTGGATGTACAAAATGATTTCAATACAATTGGGTGCAGCAACCTTCTGTACTCTGTGGCCAGTTCCTGCAGCAGTAAAAAATAGCTGGAAAGCGGAAGACCCTAACAGAGCAGTAAACGTCGTCACAGCAGTTTCTACAGGTGCTTCCCTGCTCTGTGTGAAGAAGATATGGACAGTGTCTTTGCCTTGGGGATTTAGATGGCGTATCGTACCACAATGCACTGCAGCACACAACCCAGTAAGTCAGTGCAACTGCTTTTCTCTCCTGTGCTTTCTCAAGCAAGCCAATTTAAATGAACCCTTAGTGCCCCATGCTAAGGCTGAATCAACTGCTAAACGTTGAAGTACATAAACTTCTTTAGAAGAGCAACCCGTTACCCATAGAACCACAGTCATACTAGTTACTTGTGTTTAGAGCTTCAATAGGAAAAAGGAGATGACATAAGAAATGCAAACTCCTTCCTTTTCAGGTCCTATCATGGCATGTAAAACAGTAGCGTGAGACTGTGTCACTCTACAGATCTCAACCTTTTAAAAAGCATCATTTTAGGTTCTGTCTGCTCTTTTACTAGCACCAGTTCAGTGGCACAGCTGTTGGCTGCATAGAGAATCCTAGGAGAGACAGTCCCCTGATACATGGGTTAAACACTGGCCTGCCTTGGCTTTTTGGATAGGATGACAAAACATCACTTCAAATAATGGTGGGCACTGGCTGTTACCAGGTCTTCCAGCTTTGCTGGTTTGGCTGGAGCAGAGCCGCTGCCAGCTGCAGCGGGAAATTCTTACAGTCGCTCCTGTGCTGCTGTCTCTGTTGGGCGGAGGGGAACAGACCGTTTGGAAACCTTTGAGCAGGAGGCCTTTCTATCAGCAACTGAAACATCCAGGAATACGTTCTAGAGGCCACCAACAGAAACCTGCTACCTAGGTTTTGGAGAAGCCCAAAGCCTCCCTTCCCAGCCGCCTGAACCCCGACGGTCCCAGGAGGCTGCGACCAGTGCTCCAGGGTGCGCAGTCCCTCTCCTGCCAGGCTCCCCAACTCACTCTCAGGTCGCCTTTCTCAAGGGCTAATTTTCCAACAAATTGAGATTATCACCATATTCCTCTAATACAAAATGAAGAAATCCCTTAAAATGCCAGAGTCTTTCACAGATCAGAAAATCTCATCACTGGGTGCAGAGGAACAGAGCAATGGGGGTGAGAGAGCTCATAAAATACATATGAGGAAAAATGTTCTCAGGATACTACTCTCTTCATTGTCAAAAAACTCAACAATGTATTGTGAGATTTAAATCATCCCCCACAATGACAGGATAACACCGCTCCAGTGCATGAAACCATTTTAATTTCATTTTACAATATTGCCAGTCTAAAAAACAGTATGAGTCATGAAAAATAAGAGATTTTTCCTCATTTCCTCCACATTTACATTTCAGGGTAGTATAAACTTCAAGAAAGTTTGTTTGCATATCTCTAAATTCTTAACAGTGCTTGCTGTTAAAGCATTTACAGCTAACTGAAAATATCTGCACAGAATGAAAAAAAGAGTAGCAGACGAGGCATTTATGCAGTCAGACCAAATGGAAACCCAGAGCAGGGATGAACACTTAGGAAGAGGTGAAACTGCCTATGAATACATGAAATTATGAAGGAGCTATATATTGCATCTCCATTTGGAGCTAATGCAGTCTCCTGGAAGAGGGTGAAATGCAGCCTGTGTCTTCTGAATGGCAATTTCACCAGAGTCAAATGAGCTCTATTGGCTTGTATCAAGGCTCAATTTGGCCCAGGAACTCCAGCGGTAGGGGTGACTCACATTAATATCGTACACATTGTAAAATCTTACTCAAGATCTTGCAACGAGCAACATTATTTTATATTAAATTGGATTCCAACATATTGACATAAATTGCAGTCTATCTGAGACTATTGTGCCTAGAAAAAGACTGAAAGTAAATGCTGGAAAATCCCCAAAACTATATGGGGGCAATTCTGCACTCACCTGTTGAAGTAACAAGTAACCACTGCCCCAGCAATCGTCATCTGCTGGCAGGCAAGAATGAATTCACTAGTCCAGATAAGGCCAACGAAATGATACCATGCCATGTAGCAAATTCCAGACAGAGCTCTGTATTCTACTTGTCCTCCTGAAGTAGTCTGTGCAGTACCTGGAGTTGGGATTACACCACTGTATTATTATAACACACCAGACAAGAAAAAAAAAAAGAAAAGTACATAAAAGTGCTTCTGTACCCTTTTTCCTAACTTTTCTTCAGTAAAACCATAAAAAAAATAAATTCAGGCGCTATTTAATTCTATCCATTCCAACAAAGTCAGAGAGCCAAAATTTTGTAATTCAAATAGAATTTTGAAAAACAAAATCTCACAAAAAGCAAAAGCTTGCGTTTAAATTGGGATTGAGACACAGCTGCAAATGCAGTCAAGAGGACAGCTACAAATTAGTAAAGATTTCTGAGAAAACATTACTGAAGATTTGAGTAATCAAATGCTTCAGAAGTAAATGAAATCTTAATTTTCTTCATTCAAATTTGAAGTAAACTCATAGTCAGTTATGAAATGCTTTAGATTTTTTCTATAAGAAGCAAAAGACTGCAGAAAAATATTAAGGATGCATAATAAACCATTGCAACAAAACACAATTATTATTTTAATTACTATTACTAATTAGAACCATGGCAACTAGTTTTCTGTTCTCTATACTTTGCAATCTTTGTGCAAAATACAGGCACATAAAGGCAGCCTCTCCAAAAAAAAAAAAAAACAAAAGCAGACATCTGTATGGTAGTATATGCTCCAATGTTACTACTGTATTCAAGAACATTGACAAATTCACTTATTCAAGCTAAAAAAAAATGCCTCCACTTCTGTTAATAACAAAGACTTTATTCCATATTCAATAGATAGCTTTTCACAAAATGTGGGGGTAACTCAGATCACTCAGTAATTAGACCTCTCTCTATGCAATTCTGTTTATGCCACTTGACTCTGAAGTCTAGTCAGGGGATAATGACATCAGGACATCTGTTCTTAGTGAAAGGTGTCTAGGTCCATAACCTGCTATTTTTTTAGTTTACCAAGCCTTAATTCTATTAACCTTAAAGATAAACATGTTCACAGAATAACACGATCTCTGGAGGTGAGCAGTTTCTTATTCTAACTCCATGAAAGAAATAACAAAGTGAGACATAGAATTGGCTATTACTGTTAGAACATCATTATAACTTAAGCTTTAATACCTCATGTATTCATTTGGTGGACTTGGCAGTATTAGGTTTACGGTTGGACTCGATGGTCTTAAAGGTCTTTTCCAACCTAAATGATTCTATGATTCTATGTTCTCCCACAGGACAGCGCACCACCTTCAGGTTCAAAACTACCACAGATACAAAGCTATCTATGAAATGGTTCACCTAATTTCTGTCCTAGTTTTCTATAGTCATAGAGTTCATACTCAAGAATAGGTAAAAGTAGAAAAGATAAAGATTTGTTTTCAGCAATACCATCAGGTTTAGACAAGCCTTATAAGTCTTCAGAACCAAGGTCTGTTTGTCTGTAAATCATGAAAACTATTAATCTACCCCATAGTAGCACTGCAAAATTATTTTAAAGTGCTTTGAAAGGATCAGAAAATGCTACATGGATGCATAAACAGACATACGTTCTAGAGACTTTCTGAAAGGTTATCATTTGTAGCTAAACAGGCAAGCTCTTTGCAGTGCTGTACAGTTGGTCATTCACAGAAATATTGTTGCTGTCATTATATTCAAATGTATTTTAAGCCTGTGAAATGCAGGATACTTGATTGTGTGAAAAAGCTACTGCTCAGATCTCTTCTCACAAACTCTCAACCATTCCACCCCATCCCCTGCCTCCCTGGTTTTAAGTTTGGATGCAAAAGCTTTTTTTTTTTTTTTTAAGGGGAATTTTTGAGGGCAGGTTCATTTACTTTGGTACATTAAAATAAGCTATGCACTATACCATTCCTTTTTGTTCGGAATTCAAAGAATTTTTCACCTCCCTTCCTTCTTCCAGAGGCTCTAGACTGCCACTTTCCTGCAGCACACACAATTAGACAAATACGCTCCTTAACCATAGCCTATAGTCCTTACTGAGGGAACTTATGCAAATGATAGGTCAATGAGATACAAGAAGGTCTCCTACCTCCCCATTTTTATGCAAAGACATTATGCCATCTGGTAGCAGAATTAAGCACATTTTCCACCATACACTCCACCTGAACATTTCCAAAAAAAGGGCACATTTCAGGCTTTGCTTCTGTAGTTTTGTCAGGAAGACTGACTTCTTCACTGGGTAAAAAACCGTCTGGACAGCCAGGCCCAAAGAATTCCAGTGGATGGAGTTAAATCCAGTTGGCGGCCGGTCACAAGTGGTGTTCGCCAGGGCTCAGTATCGGGGCCAGTTTTGCTTAATATCTTTATCAACGATCTGGACAAGGGGATCGAGTGCACCCTCAGTAAGTTTGCAGATGACACCAAGTTGGCCAGGAGCGTTGATCTGCTGGAGGGTAGGAAGGCTCTACAGAGGGATCTGGACAGGCTGGATTGATGGGCCGAGGCCAATTGTATGAGGTTCAATAAGGGGCTGAATATGAGCCAGCAGTGTGCCCAGGTGGCCAAGAAGGCCAATGGCATCCTGGCTTGTATCAGAAAAAGTGTGACCAGCAAGACCAGGGAAGTGATCGTGCCCCTGTACTCGGCACTGGTGAGGCCGCACCTCAAATCCCGTGTTCAGTTTTGGGCCCTCACTACAAGAAGGACATTGAGGTGCTGGAGTGTGTCCAAAGAAGGGCAGCAAAGCTGGTGAAGGGTCTAGAGCACAAGTCTTGTGAGGAGCGGCTGACGGAGCTGGGGTCGTTTAGCCTGGAGAAGAGGAGGCTGAGGGGAGATTTTCTTGCTCTCTACAACTACCTGAAAGGAGGTTGGAGCGAGGTGGGGGTCAGTCTCTTCTCCCAAGTAACAAGCAATAGAACAAGAGGAAACAGCCTCAAGTTGCTCCAGGGGAGGTTTACATTGGATATTAGGAAAAATTTCTTCACCGAAAGGGTTGTCAAGCACTGGAAGAGGCTGCCCAGGGAAGCAGTTGAGTCCCCATCCCGGGAGGTATTTAAAAGACGGGTAGCTGTGGTGCTTAGGGACATGGTTTAGTGGTGGACTTGGCAGTGCTACGTTAACGGTTGGACTTGATGATCTTAAAGGTCTTTTCCAATCTAAACAATTCTATGATTCTATGAAATGTACGCATGGTAAACTAATTCTGTTTGCTTTTTACTAGCCTACTGAAATAACCACCTGCAGTAACAACAGTAATGTCTTTGTCTTTCCTGGCCAAACTTACACACGTGCATGTGCACAACGCTGTGCTCTGCTGCACAGAAATCAGGCACATCCACCTGCGAGTTCACCATTGATCACTTTGCTGTCTAGATATGGCAAACTGTTTTTGTTAGTTCACAGAAATCTGTTTACCAATGTAAACATCTGTGTCTGATTCCCTGTCTTCTGGACCTACCGTGCATGCATAATTTTGTCAACAGAATTACATGCAATGCTATTTTTCATATGTCAGTCTTAGTAGCACAGATAAACTTTAAAGCTATCCTAGATATCCTGTTGAGAAAAGTACATGCCATTTTCCTCATCACTCCACTGTGACCTATCTGTTCACACAAGCTAAGCTTTCTCAACGAAGCCCTGAAATATGGTTTAATTTGTCAACAGAATACTTTTCTCCAACTATATAGAATCATAGAATCGTCAAGGTTGGAAAAGACCCTTAAGATCATCAAGTCCAACCGCCAACCTGTCACTGCCAAGTCCATCTATACCATGTCTTCAAGCACTGTATCTATCCGTTCTTTAAATACCTCCGGGGATGAAGACTCAACCACTTCCCTGGGCAGCCTGTTCCAATGCTTGACCACCCTCTCGGTGAAGAAGTTTTTCCTAGTATCTAACCTAAACCTTCCCTGGCGCAGCTTGAGGCCGTTTCCTCTTGTCCTATCACTTGTTACTAGGGAGAAGAGACCGACCCCCACCTTGCCACGACCTGCTTTCAGGTAGCTGTAGAGAGCAATAAGGTCTCCCCTCAGCCTCCTCTTCTCCAGGCTAAACGACCCCAGTTCCCTCAGCCGCTCCTCATAATACTTGTGCTCTAGACCCTTCACCAACTTCGTTGCCCTCCTCTGGACACATATAATCACGGATCTTTCTGGTGTACTGTACACTCTCAGTGATAACATTAAGAAGTCAGTAAAGAACTGAAGCCCCTACAGCTGAGTCACCAAATCTGAAAACCTCTGATCAGTACAAATGTTGATCTGCTGCAGATACTTCAAAGAAGTGCTGTTAACAATGCAAACAGGCACAAGCGTTTGCAGCAGAATTCAGATGAGTTTCTCCATCTGACTCTGCAGCCCAGTGCTGTGCCATTATGTCAGTCAGGCACAGCAATGCAATGACACTAAAGCCAGTGTGCATGTGCAGTATTATTAGCTACATTTTGGTGCTTTCAGACTTATGTCAGATGCTTTTATTTGGCAAACTGCTGCTGCAAGGTTTTGCTGATGCCTGGAGCAGTAGGCTGTTGTAAGGGATGAAAATTCCTGGAAGTCTAGTTCAGCAATTTCCTTATCAGAAACAAAGAACCACTGACTAGAAAATACTGAGAGCCTGTTTATCAGTTCCTGTTAACATGAAAATATGATGTGCCCTTCCCACTGCTAAGTGAGGAAAGGTTCTGGCATCATACACTGAATCTTCATGCTTCCTGCAACAGAATTTATTGTGTTATTTTATTTAGCTTTTTTTCCATGTAGTGGTATTTACAGCTAAGCTAGCTGACTGTAATTGGAATGTCAAGGACCCTGTAGGAAATACATTTTTATTGCTGGTTTCTCTATTGCACAGCTTTATGTGGCAGTTTTATTGCTCACTTGCCTGTATTCAGGCACCTTCATTACATGAAAATCTCACACCGCCTTCTCATCCTACATTACACCCACGGTATTTATGCCATGTGGACTTCACAGCTCCTGCATGCTGGAAAGCTGAAAGACATGCTTTGCTGTGCCACATGGCCACTTCAGTTCTGCAGTGAAATGCCGCACAAATTAGCAAAGAGTAAGACTCAATGACCCGAAAACATATCAGCTTTTCCAAAGCACAGCTGAATTCCATTCCTAGCCAGCTAATGGTTCTAACTGGTGCCACTGTTTGTGCTGTCTCAAGTCTTGTGGAGTCTGGCATTTCTCCTAGTTTTCTAGGTCTGGAATTCACTCAGTCTCTGCTGCTCTTACAGACTCTGAATTACCAAGGTACTTAAGCAGGTGCCTACCTTAAAATGCATAAGCAGTCCCACTGATTTTAATAGGATTATCCATGTGTTTCAAGTTAGTCATGTGCATAAGTACCTTTCCAAGTGCGGGCTATAGTTTTCTGTAGCTCCCAAGAAGTTAGTCTTTTCTCAGAGTAACACTAACTTTTGGAGGGGATGTAAATAAGGTGCCTGTGTGGTCGCGTAATGATCAGGTACACCACAGCTGAAGCGAGGATCAAGTGCTCCAGAGCTGTAAGATGCAGAGACGCTATAAATGTTACAGAACCAGGGAAGATTCAAGGAAAATATTAAGAACAGGTGCAGCACAGCAGCAAGCCAATGTCACTTGCCCATCTCTCTGTATTAGACAAAAGACTAGTGTCTTTGTAAACATTTCATTTTTTTCAGCTTTCTTGGTATATTTGCATTTAAAATATAGTCCGCATAGCCCCAGAAAATGTATTTGTGAGAATAAAAAGTCAAAGCGTCAAAAACAAGAAAACCACCACCTGTATTTTACAAACTGAATCTTGGCTAGGCAACTGTTTGTCAACAGAGAAAACAAATTGCTCAAAGAGAGCGTATCTTGGGAGATCTTCAGAGAACTACTCTCAGCTGTTGCAATAAGTCCCCAAAACTCAAAAAGCAAAAGAAATGTCTTCCGTTTACAGGGTGATTGTAGAAAACTAGTAGAAAATACAAAGCTGTTCTACCAATGCATTATTAACCAAACAGTACTACATTTATTTTTACAGGATGTGTAAGTACTAGTTATCCTAGGACAGCAAAACAACCCCCAACAAGCTACCTTACTGCAAGCTGCTTTAACGGGCAGCATTTCAGAGGACTCATATTTGGGTTGAAAATTTGAAATAAAATCTAAAGGAATATTCTCAATACCAAATCTAGTCTACTGGTCATTTGTGTAAGTTTTGAACTACAAAACAAATCTGAGGTAGAGTATGGGACTGAAAATCCAAACAACTATCGTCCTTCTTGCTGACACCAACCTCCTGCGTCACCTTGACAAATCTCCGCAACCCGAGAGCTGGATAAAACAATCCTTCACTACCTTCCCAGATCATTAAAAGGCTAAAATTGCCTTTGTTGCCTTCGAACTCCTCTCAGGAGGAGTTACTCTGTAATCAGAGCAGCTGTAAACAACTGAGCACATTCATAAGAAACTTTCTCACACTACTTTATCGGCACCTACCGGGCACTGATGCTGCTGCAGGTCATTTACATCTTATTTACATAAATACCTCAGCCCCTGGACTTTGCTAAGAACTCTGTTTACACCTGTTGGGTAACAACACTCACCATTTACCATAGGCAGCTTAACAAAAAGAATAATTACAAATACAAATGATAAAATTAATAGAATCGGGTTTTAATCAGAAAAATAATCAAATACGTAGAGTGGCATTTTTCTATCTGCATAGGCTGTAACTTAGAATTGGTTTGGATTATTTATCAAATGCACATTCTCTTCTAAATATTAACATGCTCACAGTTAACAGAAAATCCTACAAGGATTGACATCTACACTAAAAATATCCTGGCAGAAGATCTCAGTCAAAGCATACATTTTACTAGGTTCCTTATATGAGCAATATATTGACAGTTAAGTGCCTGGAAATGACCTTCGCTTCTTATGCTACATCTGCAAAAAGTCAATTCTTTCAAAACTGAGAGCATCCTAGAAACTTTAACATTGCTCTACTGTGCAGTAAGACTATGCTGCCTTCTGTACTGTACTGCTTGTGTCACTCGCTGGAAACATCAGCATTCCTATTATGCTAGGGAAAAGACAAAAAGTAAAATATCTTTGAGCCAGGAGACGTGTGCTGCACTATGAATGTAACAGCAGGTCACAAACTGTCTGAATCCTACTTTCCAAGCAGGCAGAAAAAAAAAAGAAAAAGAAAAGAATGGAAAAGTCTAGCAGGAAACAGAGAATATAACCAATGAAGGAAAATGGCACAACATGGAAAAAGCACAAAAAGCCTCTCAAAGGCAGTTGTCATTGGGTTTTATTTCCCTGTGAATACACGTGGAATTTGCTTTCGAATATAATGTGCAAGTCACTACTTTGCTACAAAGTCTGTAAAAGCATCCAGGAAATACCTGACTAGTTCCCCATCCTGCACTTATCATCAAGCTGTTTCTGTCATATAAGCTAAAATATTTCTACTCTTCTAATGATTGCTGCATTTCCAAAAGCTTTCGAATGCAACAGACTCAGCTGGCATTTTCTAAATTTAGATTTAACAAGGGCAAGCTTCACATCCTTATGTGTGCATATTAAGAGTACCAGTGAATCTTCCTATGGCTAATGGGCCAGCTCAGTTTAACATCAAGGATGTAATATTTCCTCTAATAGTCATTGTTAATTATATATTTAGCAAACCTGTGTGTTATCATTCATTTTATTTACCTGCTCCTACATTTACTGTAATTAATGTTTATCTTAAATTGCACCTGATCCAAGCAGGTGCATGAAATGAACAGTTGGTTGATAGCTCAGGAAATGCTCCTTTCGATAAAGAACTAGTCCGAGCCAGTGATAAGGTAGCCCACAAGGCCAGTTTGAAAATTACTGTTGCCTGACTGGTATGTGCATAAATGGGATGAAGATTTTGCAGAAAAGCTAACAACCACACAAAGCTGTGTCTAGCACGTAACGCTGCCTCTGCAAAGGGAAAATTCAACTCGGAGGAGTGTGGAGAAGGAATATCCATGACACCTAAAGCAAAGTGAATCTGCTTGACTATTTAGTCAGCCAGGAGCAACTCACAAAAAGACTGCAGGTTGGACATTCAGCCTTGCTAGGTCTGACCCTTTTGCAGGAGAAGCAGGTTATCAGCCAGACAAGCGCTTCACACAGCCATTTCTGACAGACATGAGCTACTGGGGAAAAGGCAGCAGAAATAGAGAGACCCTTGCAAACGTGCATGACTCTCCAATGAAAGCTGGAGGGAAACAGATCCTAGTCTAGCCTAAGCAATGAGTGAGCAATTGGCAACGCCAGCATGGACTCAGACAGACGGACTACCATGTAAAAAGTTAAGTGGGTCCTATACAGAGCCAGAATTAACAGGGTGAGACCAAGATGGAAGCAGTTGGGATGGAAGAGGAGCAAGGTACCTGACCCATGGAGGTGGGGAATACTGCCAGTTTTGCCAAATGGGCTCAGCTACAGAAAGGCTGGAGGCTTTTCTGGCCTAGCAGGGATCTGTAAGCCTGTACAGAGGAGTTACTGCAGCCACCGTCTCAAGGGGTGGTGGAAACACAAGATAAAATGGTAACACATAAGCATTTGAAGAGCTAGGCTGCGTTTGGTTTTCCACACGGAAACCACTGCCAAAATTCAGAAAATAGAAAACCCATGAACAAATATGGGAATGACAAACAACTGTATCCGCATCAATTCTGCATCAGCTCCAACCCAAAGGACAATAACTGACTCCTAGAAGTGGCCCTAGAAATTTAAAGTGAAAAGAAAAACCAAACCCCAAATCATAATGCTTCCTATGTACAAAGGCTGATATCTGCATGAGGAGTTATCCCCAGAGCTATGCAGAGTTTAGCTTCCCTTCTTTGGGTGACGTTCCACAGAAGAACAACCTCCCCCTCCCTTGGATGGCATGATGCTGGGCCAAGGGACAGCATCCAAATTACCCCAGTTCAATCAGTGACAGATCTTAAAATGGTATGTCCCTCAGTAATACCACTTCCATACTCAAAATCTGTTCTTGCAGATCTTTCGTAGTGATTGACTATTTCTACAGAGCACCTCCCCTACAACTGCAAGAACCTCTGGATTAATCCAAATACTCCTGTACCAGTCTAAATAATGATAGCGGTTGTCACTGAACTACTGCTCAGAAACAATGTTCTGCCTCCATGACAACTGGACATTGTTTATAGTCAGAGGAGATTAACGTTCTCATTTCGTAACAACTGCACTAAAAGCTGTCTCCTCCCTCCCGTTATTTTCTTCATTTAAATATTTCAAACATATACTGTATCTGCCACAATCTAATCATAAATCAAATAACTGAGAAAGAACAAAACAGAAGTCCACATATAGGAGCAAAAATCTCTCTTCTGTAGTGCTCTGACTCATGGAACTATGGCAATGTTGAAGACTCCAAAAAGTAGGGAAAAAAAAATATAAACAAAAAAAAGGAGTAACACAGCTGTGTACAATGCTAGCCCACATTTTGTACACGAACACCAGGAGGTCCCGTATTTAAGAAGTGAACTTAGGAAACAGATATCATTCATCCAAAAACATGGAAAGCATATACTTACCTGCAGTTCCTAAGCTAAGTAGTACAGCAACCCAAAAAACCCAGAACACAATGAGAATCAGAAAGGTCCAGAGTGGTTGGAACAGGAGGAAAGGAATTCTGCCAATGATTTTACCAACAATTCGAAAGAGCTGTACAGTGAACTGAAGCCTCTTTCTTAGTACAAGTATAAGGGAAAGCAGAACAACCTGTTACAGGAAATAAAAAGACAAATTGTTGGGTTTTTTCCCTTAAGAAAAGTGGCAGAGTTGTGAAATGTGGGATCAGGGGTACAGATTTCACAAAGACAGGACAGCAAGGCATTTTACACAAACTTACTGTGCACTGGAAAAGCTTTCTGAGACACTACCTATATTCTCAAAGACCCTGTGTATTAAAATCTGATTTTCTGAAATCATTACTACTGTTTCTTTAAAACAAAATAGGATGCATAAAACTGTAATTCACCCAATGGAAACAGTCTGTTTTGCTTTACAGCAAACACAAATGTATGTTACATGCTACACATCCTTTCACATACCCTGTATGTCTTGAACATTTAAACTTTCTTCCTACTCAGGTCAGCTTGCCACCGTTCACAATGGTAGAAAGACCAGTCCTTTTCTGCAGAAAGGACAGCAGCACAACCAAACTAATTTGAGAGCTCTGTATGTATGGATGCAAAGCAGACATAAAATGAAACCTCATTTAAATAAATTGGGTTTTTTCCAAAGTAAAAAAAAAAACAACAACAACAAAACCCCCGAGTCAAAAACCCCACAATGTCCCCAGTTCTTTGTATATGACAAGGAACTAAGAACAGCAATTAAAAGAGAGGTTGGAATCTATAAAATAATAAATGCAACCAGTGGCAGTTGCTTCACTAGTCTTCTTGCCTGCTCTAAAAAGAAGCCACCAGCTCTGAAGAGCAGTGTAACCTGCAGCAGTGGATGCTCCCACAGTTCTGCAAACGACAGTTAGTTGTACTGGCACACACATGCATACAAAGGAACCTTTTCTTACCCCTTTAGTATCAACAGAAGTAAAAAGCTCATAACTTACAGAGGATATGAAAAAAATCTGATCTGTGACACATTTATATTTGCCACTGTAAACTGTCAGACTGTTAATATCTCATGAATTCCAGTCTATGGATCCTACTCTGCTTTAAGACAACAGAAGAACGATCATTTTGACAAATGTCTCATGAAGTACAAATTGTCTGTACACTCATATTGAGCAACCACTCCTTTAACATTGCAACATCAAAGTGAAAAAGTCACTTTAAAAGTTGCAAGCCACACTCAGATTTTGTGTTGGAAAACAAGGCGAATGAGAGAAAAGCAGAATTTAACCCCATAACTTGTGGCCTAGACACTGCTGCCTGTGCTTCACTACCCCTTTCATTGTCCAAAAGAGCTGCCACCCCTTTCTCCTACTGACAGGGCAGGCTGAATCCACAGACCCCACGTTCATATCGAGCTAGTTCCCCTCTGTTTGCTCAACATCATTCTCCAGTTAGCTGATGCAGAGAAGAATGGGGATGGAACACAATTCTTGCATTTCTACACCACCAATGCTAACACTGTTTCTATGGGGTTGAAGTGTGGCAGAGTCCTGTGCTGACAAACAAATTTCACAAATGAAGATATAAAACTATTCAAATGAGTGTAAGCAGATCTCATTGATTCTCATTTTCAAATCTGAAAGGAACGAGGAATTATTTTTACTGTCGCAGAACCCCTGTGGTTCAGGTTTTCAAGTTACAGCCTCTGCTATTGCTTAGGGTAAAATGCTACTTACGGTAACTATTGTTGAGAAGATAGCATATCCAAGCAGAAATTTTACATTTTCCTTTTCTGTCTCCAATTCAGTGCTGGGATCATTCTTGTAGTCATAATAGAGCCACCAGAGAACACCTGAGACAACTGAGCAAAGAAGAGCAGCGTGAAGGCGGGCGGCGCTCCCCAGGCTGCAGCACACCGCTGTTGGCAGGCCGATGTCTGCCTGGACTCCCTCCTGAGTTTCTCACCCTTCTGCCTAACCCAAGCTCAGCTCAGGAATACTGTCGTGTAGCGGAGAGGCACAGTATCAATGATCACAGAGAAAATGCACATGATGGTCTGTTAGCCTGCGGTAAAACTGCGCGGAACGTTTGGTTTTCTTGCAGTTATTCTAAAGCTCGGGCGTGTAATTTCGTTGAGGAGGTATAAAGCTAACTTTCATGCAATGACAAGCTTTAGCTGGACATATTCCTATAGTTCTCCCTTTCTAAAGCAGGCAATGTAAAACTTCACTAAACTTTCTTTGAAACAGTAGCATTTTAATAACTGCGTTCATCTGCCAAAAGAAATGTTGTTTCCAGGCAGCTACAAAAAAATAAAAACCATGATCATCCCACCACTCAGCAGCTGGAACAGCACAGCCAGACCTTGGCACCCAAAGGCAGGCGGGGCTCAGCTTGGAAATGGCTGTGGTAAGCTTAAGGTTACTGAGGATGGCCATGGAGAAAAAGGAAAGCTGTTTGTTCAGCTGCCTCTCCTTCAGTTCAGTGAGATGATCCATTTAGCTAAGCACATGCTAAAAGGTAAATATACTCACATAACAACCCGAATACAACCAGTGCAATCAAAGTATGGACCAGAAGCATCCGTATAAATCTGAAGGCTAAAACCAGTATAAAAGAGAAGGCTGAAAAATACACAAAGTAAGTTTATTATGAGTGTTACAACCCATTCAACTTAACTCTTATTTACTTTAAAGATAAATTTAACGTTCTTGCAGAATTTAGGCTTTTATTTTTAAACAGCGGTCTCAAAAACAACAGCATCTAGTAAAGCTGGCAGCCTTTTTAACATTTAAAATACAGTTACCTGTAACTTACTGATAAAGAACTTATAACTGAAATATTTCACCTTGGGAATTATTAGCTTTTCGATAATATTTTGTATAAGATTTAAGTTAAAATGTTCATGCTGATGCCATTCTTTTTTCATCAACAATTTCTTACAGTCCTCTGAAATGAGGTAGATGATCATATCAAGGAACACAGAATCTGATATTTCATAGAGCTGTATTTCATCAGTCTATTAAATGCCTCCCGAAAAAAACACAATCACTTTTTCTTAAAAACAACACTGACCAGAAAATATGAAAAAGATGACTTTTAAATTAAAAATATAAAGCTAATGTAAACATTTGAAACCTCACATTTTAATTTAATATTATTATTCACTTTTTATTTATAACCTTACCTAGTGCAAGGACACTCAGTCCTATCACAGTATCTCTTCCTGCCAATATTCCACTCAGAGTTCGGTGAAAAACATCCATTTCATTAACCATACTTATTAAGACAGATGCATATTTGGAATAGCATTCAGGATTTTGTGGAACACATCGATTAAATAATGGAAAAGTTTTGCTGGAAGGTTAAAAACAAAGATGGTAAAACATATTAATTACTGGACAAACAGCTTCAAATCCACAGAGATTCATTCCACCACTCTCGTCCAAGCCCTTTGCAGTACCCTACCGGCATCCTCAACCCAGTTTTGCAGCCACAGCTGGCCAGTCTGATCTGTAACCTGGCAGGCATCATCCGCGCCCAGAAGGAGACCTTGCACATGGAGTCTGACACAACAGGGCACTGGGCATGGAAGCAGTCTGTTACCAATGGTAGCTTTATGTGTCATCTGCAAAATAAACTCCTAGCAGCATCGTGCCCGTATCACTGTACCAGAACATCCATTCAAGATCAACCTGGGAGAAAAAATGAACTACTGTCTCAGTCACCACCAGCATGTACTCCTGTTCCCATTCTAGTCTGGCTTCACCTGCTTTGCTCCCATGTGTTTATGCAGAACCTAAACTCATGCTAACATAGCTGTAAGCTACGTTGTTGTAGATAATTCTAGACCACAAACACTCCGCATTGTTTTTATGATACTTAAGCATTCTAAAAGCCACGTCAAAACAATGTTTGTAAGGTACAATTAACACCACCAAATATTTGCATATAAAATTATTTGGCACTCCCAGCCAAGCTTCGTGAACATATTTATTGTCCCACTCTGGCAATGCTGCACTACAACAGTGAGACATACTTGTACCTAAAAAGGAGAGGCTTGCTCATCAACAGTTAAAAACTTCTCTGACCAGCTTTGCTTCTACTATGAAATACTACCGTGCAAGATGAGTAACTTTGCTGAGTTCCTTGCCAAACAGAAAAAAGCCTAAAAGGTCAAAGAAATAAGTAAAACATGGCATATTTTTTCATCACTTTACATGCTCTCCTTTGATCCAGTGTATGTAATGCTTTTATGTGTCTCCTGTTCTCTTCTGTTTGCTTTTTCCCTCTATTTTCTCTCGTTCAGAGCAGATGACTTAGCTCTGCAAACATGCAGATTCCAGTTCTTTGCTTTATTTTCATGACACAGTGGAATTTAAAATCATGGGTTTAAGGATTTTGACTCACAAATGCCAAATGTTAAATACAGTGCCATCCACAGACCTAGGCTTCAAGCCAGCTGGCTACGAAGTAATTCTGATCGAAATTTCTGGGTTCAGCATAGTAAGCAAGGCCCAAGACCACCAGCTTCTCTTCCTCGGCATTGAAGGAGAGAGCAAAAGTCTGTGCAGGATAGTTGCTCCTCATATGGAGTGCTTTTCCCCTGATTTGGAGATGAAAAATCTCTAAAGGGTAGAGGAATGGAGGGAATGCGGTCCTTGTTTATTCCGGGGACAGGACACTGCCATGTTCACAGGCACACATGAGGACTCGTAAAGATACATGTACAAAAATAAATAAACAAAGCAAAACCATTCTGACTGTAAAGCACCAAGTCAAATACAAAACGTGAGGAAGTAGCAATCCTTAAGAAGCTGTGTGGACTCAAGGGTGTTGTAAAAGTACCCAGTAATTCTTACCTTGGTGGAACTGGCAGTGTGGGACACAGCTCAGCTGCCTTTGGATTTAGTGTGTAACTGGAAATGTTCAGGTTGTAAACACAAAGACAAGAACCTAAGAAGGAAAAAAAAAACCAAATGGTAACAATATTAGTTAAAGTTTTAGAGAAAAACGCATTATCAATTAAGCTTTGTTTACACTTCTGCTTTGATCCCTTAGCAGGCCATATTCACCCCTGATATTCCAGTGGGAATGTAAATAACAAATTAGTTAATTGGGTAAATCTAAAGCAACCTCTGTGGAATCTTTTGCCTTTTAGACTTAACTATAATTACCATTTACTGATCTTCCTGGAGGGCAGGCACACTATTGGTTCCACAGAGAGATACTTCAGCTCTAAAGTCTTACTCATTAAGATAAGATAACAGAAAAACCTAAAATGTCAGAAGCTGCACTAGAACTAGGCCCTTCACGATTTAGATCAGAATATGTATCGATCCAGAAACTTAATATTTTCTGGGCTCTAGGCTAAATACTACCAGGCACTCTGCTAATAATGCTCTGCTCCATTACATATAATGCTTCTGGGAAAGAAAGGCTGGATACATTCAAGCCATTCAAAATGCAATACTGCCCTCTCCCTCGAGATAAACATGTAAGCCGTTTTAGCGTGTAAATGGAATTTCATGCCATTATATTCAGTTACACTGAAAACACTAATATCACATGTGTTTACAGCTTTTTGTACATAACAAATGATGGCAAAATACCCCAAAATGAAATTAAAACAAATGTTGTCAATTTAAATCACAATCCTTGCCAAACAAAACAACAAAACAAAAAAGAATGGAATTCTGACCTCCAATAAAAATAGCCACTGATATTCATATGGTCTGCAGTTTACGCATACCCTATGGAATAAGGGTTAGGCTACAGGTTATTTTATTTACATGTTGGACATGAATGAACTGGAGCTGCCTCTTTTGCACAACAGCTACTTCTGACATCATAGCCATCTTGAACACCAGAATACAATAAAAAAATTTGTAAGTGGAATAGCAAACTTTGGGATCTGATGTCTAAAGGGATAAAAACACTTGTGTATCTCTGGAATTAATAATTCCACCATAGTTTTAATTCAATTTAAAAGAAGCAGTTGGACAAGTTCCTCAAATAGCATATAAACTCCGTTCACCTACTGGCAACCCCCACCAAACTACACCAATTCATTCTCAGCAGCCAGTTTTCTGCTGGATAATCTCAGCATTATGCAGGAATTAATCAACAACTTTTGAATTTGCATAAGAGAGCTGTAACATTTCTAGAAACTACGGCTTTGAAATAAAGCAGAAACAAGACTTTATTTTCTGTTGCCATGGACTGCTCAGGAAATTAATAGTAAGAAATGGCTCCCTAGCGTAGCAAACATAAGAATAACAAAGTGAAAGCTGCTCAACTGTTCTATAGATACACTAAGATATTCATATTCCCTGTTGCACACCATTATTCCTTGCAAAACTCTGGAGGTCTTCCAAAGAGTTGAGTTGCTCTTGTGGACAACTAGACACGCACAAGGAAACTGAACTGATTTTGAGGCTTTGCATTTCCAGGCTGCATGAATTCAGAAAGAACACATACCTAGAAAGAAAAAAAGATCCTCTTTTCAAAAAACAAGCTTTCTGGTTTTCAGAGGTTTAAATTCTGAGCCTTCTTTCCATCTTTTTAAAGCACTACAAAGCAAATGAAACTCTTTTTTCCACATATCATGGAAAAAAATGGAGTTTGAAGTTAGAAGTTAAGAAGTAATTTGAGAATATGCTACATTTTTACACTTCATTTTACGTGCTTCAGTGGGATCAGAAGCTGCCAAGGTGGGTGCCATTCTACAAGGAATGTTCGTGGAAGTCGACAGAACGATGGGGAACTTCAACATGCAACTTCCTTAAGTACAAAGATTTGCCATATAGAATGACTGCTGGTTTGGCCAAAGTCCTGTTTAAGATCCTATTTAAGAAGAAGCCAGCATAAAGCATAACAATGTAGCACATTTTCAAATTCCATCTTAACTTTTTAGTTTCACTCACCATTTTGCACCATTCTCACACCTTTTTTTTTGCCTTTCAATATAAGCATGTGTATATGATTGACAACTAGAAGATATGCATCTCATTAAGTTCTCAAACATTTGATTTATTTAGACATTACCTGACTTACTTACTTTTTATTAGTCATGTCCTGTCCAGAAAGGGGTGCCCCTTTTACAGGAGTGTTCCTCCTACCACATATGTTCCCAAAGCTGTCATATCCAAGCACAAGTCTTTCTGCGGCACCAGCCATCACAGCATAGCCAGTTATAAACATCTGTTAAAATATTTTTTTAATGTGAAATTATGCTACAATAGCTTTTCCTTCCCATTCAGTAAATACTCCTTTTAACCTATGCATTTTTGTCTTGTGGATGCAAACCGCTAAATCTAAAATTCACCCCTCTGCACAAGGCTGGAGCAAGTCATACGGACAAGTTTAGCCCTACTGCCTCCTTAGAGCTTTCCCTCATCTATTGCTGAAAACGTATAAATTAAGCAGAGTATCACAGGAGAAGAAAGATAGGGGACCTTGTTAAAAGAATAAGAAAGCAGTAATAAAGTGCTAAACGCTGCCTCTACCGAAGGTCATGTGTGTCCCTAGGCAAGGTCACTCAAATGGTAATTTTTCACATGTGCTCACTGCATCTCATTTTTCAGAGTGCCCTTCAAGACACACCTGGGCAATATATCTGCTGAAATGTTGAGCCCTTGCAGCTGCTAGTGAATTTAATCAGAGGTGTATTTTAAACACATAAAGTATAATGAAAATGCAGGTTACCTGAAATTTCAGGAAGATGCATTCTTTAACACATGTGAAAAACCTCAAGAGAGCCACACTGGGGACTTAGGTGACACTGCACTCACCTTTTAGATGCTCTGCTGTCAGATCAAAGCCCCAGCAGATCAGCTCCCCGTAGACCCCAGGGGCAGCTGAGCACCTCCGTTGGCCAAGTGGCAGCAACCCTTAGTCAATATAAGACACCCTGCCAGGAATGCAGCTTAAACCCTGACCCAAGAGAGCCAAAAAAACCCTTGAAAAGAACGTTTTCAAGTGCCAAGAAGCAGCAAATCTTCTTCTGGGAAGCTGGTGAAGTCCTGAGCACTGCTTCACCCTAAGGTTTACTTACAGCACTCCAGCTATTGAAGAACTCTGTGATTCAATCATCCCCTCTGTCCCATGGGGTGTAAACAACATTTCACACACACCAAGGACAAGGCACTAAACTCTATGGCTACATGCCAACGGCTGGCAGCAGCAAGCCTTCTCAGTCCCACATTAACCACGACTACTTTGCAGGGATATTGTTGAATATCAGCTGTGCTGGAGATAGATTGCACATATCAGATTCAGCACCAACTGCTTTCTTACTTAAGGTGCAGAGCCTTTATTTGTTATTCTACTTTTAACACTTGTGACTAAAGATGGGATCTGGGCAAAAACTGAGTCTCACACACAAACATGTAAGTACGTGCTTCCTTAGTCCCCAATGTAGTCTCATTTTCGCTTATATGTTTGCAGTCTAACTAGTTAAATAATATTTCTTTTTAAATTATGACTGCATGTTAATGCCATCTCATATAGAAATCTTTGCAGACTTCACAATTAAAGCCGACATACTACTTGTGTATGTGACATTTGTTACAATAATAAAATATTTTCAGATCCAGCTTATTTACGTAGCAAATATTTTTCAATAATTAAATTGTTCTCAGAAAGAAAAGGAGAAATGAGCTGGCATTGTAACTCTCCTTGAAATATGCTTTCAGAAAAATTCTGGCATTCCTTCTAAAGATGGACGTTACAGGTCCATTGTCATCAGTATGGCAAACACTGTGTGCATGTGAATTATTTTTTTTAAGCGCAGAATGGTGGATACAAGCCATAAATATTGTTAAGTAATAGCTGGCCATATGACTGCTGGAGGGGTGTGTCTATACATGCCAGTGATATGTGTTTCAACAGTTACTAATGTGGCTTCAATTTTTTTCACTATGTGAACAAATCAGCGTCACCAAAAAAATTTTTATCTTTTAAGAATAAGAACAAACAAAAGAAAACAAATATATGTATGCAACAAGCTATTTCACAGAAACTGAGTAATAAAAACAGTGAGAGAAAACAAACAAAAATCCTAAATCCTCACCATTTGACAGGTTTAATTTTTGGCATTTCCTCCACTGATCAAAGCACTAAGCATAAGACAGCATGCAAAAAACCCTATCCTGTTCACAAAGTTCACCTTCAGCTTATGCAGCACGCAAAATGTGTATGTATTCTTCTACATTAGCTTCCATTAAAAGAGTTATTAGGAATTTAATTGAAAGCTGATTAATAGTGTATTCACAAGAATCCCAAGTAGCCTCAGACATATCATGAAAAAAACATTCATACTTAAGAAAGACAAAGCCTGTTCCCAAAAGCCCGCATGCTGTTCCAAGCACCGGACAGATAGTGACTTGATACAACATCAGATGGACGTGTTCCAAGATAACAAGACTACAATGAATGAGATAAGTAGAAATAAAAGCCCAGTCAGAGCCTGGAATAATTTACAAAAAGGCGAATTCTAAATAACCCAGCCCGGCGTATACATGGCATCTAAAGAATACGGGCAGAATTTAAAAGTCTGTGTACAGACACTGCAATAAAGCACTGCACCGTCACAAAGGTCAGTTTTGTCCCAGTGCGACCCTGGGACCCTAACACCTGTGCCCATGATCATTTCAGTTTAGATTCAGCATAACACGGTGCAGAACCCCATTAACTTTGGATCTGCTTTTTCTTTCAGGAAAGAGCATGCTTACCAAGCCAGCCCAGAAAAGGAAGAAGAGGAGCAACCAGAGAGTGTCTGTGCACTTTCTGTAAACGACAGGTCTCCATTCCCTTAGTTCAGAAACACTATCTCCAGAATCCTAAAATGAAACAAAAAAGAAAAAGGAAAAGGAAAAAAAAAACAACCCAAACTTCCTGTGAAATTAAAATCAAGTTTCAAACGTCTGAGATTTCTGAAAGAGCATAACCTTTGCGCTTAAAATGCCAAGCACCTGGCAGCTCCCCGCCCGCAACAGCTGCGCAGCTCGCCGGTGGGGA